TCTACATAGACTGGCTTGCCAAACTGGTATTCCCATTAAGGGTGAACCCTAAACAAAATAGGATGGATGCATCTCGTATATATATAGTCTCAAAGTCCTATTTATAGGCCAAAAATAAGTAGTATAGTCGATTGCTATAGCAAATACAACTTTGCTTTATCGACAATTCCATCACAGAATGCGATATATGAATATTTTTGGCCTTCCATGCAGTTTGCATCTGCCCTGTGACCCAAAAGCACTCGTGGCAATGTGGCTTGGTGGTTTACGTGTCGAGACTTTACACTGTAATGTCGTGGTTCGAGTCCCGCCATGGGTGCTGATGAGACGTAGACCAGTTGCAGCGAAGTCGAAACTGCCGCCCACTCCAGTCGGAATGAGAATACCTTGTCGTGTTGGTAAGAGGAACTTGGACTGCCTCTATAATACAAAGCGCTTGCCCTCTACAGGTCCAAGGATCGAGGCCCCAAAACGACGAAAGAAAAGGAACAAATAGTATTACCAATTGTCTGGTTTTAGAAACGGCCGACCACTGTATGGGGAGCTGGCAATAGAAAGACTATCATTGAAAGATGGCGTTAAATAGAACATTCGGCTACTACCATCAATTTGGGGTGTATTCACCCAATTTCGTCTGAGCTGATGAAGCACCGGTAGTAGAATTTTCCCACAATGGTGTGAGTAGAGCTGACCTTTCCATTGAATTTCACAGTCTTGTTTGCCCAAAAAATCTTCTCCTCCAGGCACCAGTGGACTGCAGGTTCGACCTCGCCCCGGTCTTATCAACCCCCTCAGCGGGAGTCGAACTGTGACAGCGCAGCATGTGAGCTTGCCACGTTAACCACGAGTGCCGTTGGATCACAGGGCAGATGTGCATTTCAAGGAAGGCCAGGTCTTTTCTCATATCACACTGTCTGTTCGGATTGTCGATGAAGCAAACGTATTTTTGCTATAACAATCGACTACATTACTTATTTTAAGTATATAAGTAGAGTTTATAGAATACCAGTAAATCAGTCATATGAGATGTATTCACCCTATTTCGTTTAAGGCAGTGGTTCCCAAACTTGTCCTAGTCGCGGCGCCCTTTTTCAATTAACATTTTTCCATGGCGCCCCATCCTAAGTATGACTATTCATAAGTAAGAGATAAAAATAAATAAAACTCGTGTATATTCATTATTTTTTTTTACTTTATTGACATTAAATTAATATTTAATAATTAATGTGATGGAGGAGCCTGCAAATCACTGCAAATTTTCTCAAATTGAAGTACAGTTTAAGGTGATGGTAGTCTCTAAACTCTACTCAAATACGAAAAATAAGTGACGAAGTCGATTGTTATAGCAAATAAACGTTAGGGTTCGACTCCCGCTGAGGATGTTGATAAGACCGGGGCGAGGTCGAATCTACAGTCCACTGGTGCCTGGATGAAAAGATTTTTTGGGCAAACAAGACTGTGAAATTTAATGGAAACGTCAGCTCTACTCACATGATTGTGGAAAAATTATACTACCAGCCCTTTATCAGCTAAACGAAATTGGGTGAATACATCTCAAATTAATGGTAGTAGCCGCGACAGTACAGACAGTCATACCCAAATTTTTCGTATTTACTCAAACTTTCGAGACTACCAGTAAATCGGTAATATGAGATTTACTGGTAGTCTCGAAAGTCTACTTAAATACGTAAATAAGTAACGTAGTCGATTATTATATCAAATATACGTTTGCTTCTTCGACAATCCCACCAAAGATTGTGATATGGCAAAAGGCCTGGCCTTCCTTGAAATTCACATCTGCCCTTTGACCCAAGGATACTCGTGGTTAACGTGTTGAGCCACCTTCAAAAAGAAAACGACTCAATTTGTCTGCTCAATGATATTTCTAATTTCACTCAAATTCACCCAAAATATTGCATTAAGCTCTTCAAACTAACCAGAGATGTCAAATTACGCAACCCCAGTCTTGCTTTTCCTTAAAGGGTTAAACGTTAATGACCCTTGATCGAAAGGTTAGGACTAATGGTTTCGTAACTTGATTACTAAAAAACTCATATTTCATTATCCCAAAAATACTTATCTACGGACTTAAACAGTCTCAGGCAAAGATTTTCCTTTAATTATTAGGTCTTAAGGATCAGAACAAGAGATTTACTCTTTGACAAGTGTGATTTAAGAACCGTATTGCATATAGACGCAAATAAACACACAAATATGCATTCTCA